TCAGGGTTGATTTGTCCCTATGTCCACCAAGGACCAAGGTGGCCCCGGCCGGGATTCAAACCGGCGACCTCCGGTGCTGCACGGCGGAAGGGGGTCCTATGATCCATGTTCTGGATTGCCGCCATCTTTAGATGCTCAGCTCTCGTGGTTTTTGTTTCCTGTCTCAGCTCTACAGCACGCTCCACAGAGATAAAACCCGATTCTACGAGAGGATCTCCACCTTTAAGGCCGTGAAGCAGAGAAGCGGTAAGGACAACCCCGCCCCCCCCCCAATCCTGCACTTCCCTGTGTCTGTGTCCCCCCCGGTCCTCTCTAGGCCATTTAGTAAAACCAGTTTACCTCCTGCTTGGGTCTCCCGGGGTTCAGGGCGGCACCAGCGTGACACGGACACTTCCTGTTGGATGTCCGTCGGCTGCGAAGAAACTGCAACAAATGTATTTCTTTTATTTACTGATTTGTATCTTTTTGTGTTGCAGAGGGAAGTGAAAGTACGTCCGGGAGTATAGGTGAGTTACCATAGAGCCGGGGTCACCACATGGCGGGCCGAGTTCCCCCTCCCCCCCCCGATCTGCTCTGTGATCACTGAGGTGCGACGCGCCGCTCTCGGCACTTCACGCTTCAGCTGTCAGGAGCCGGAAGGTGAAGAACGTTCCGGTGCTTCATCGTCTGTGTTGGTGGTACAGGGGAGACATCAGGAGTCTAATAGATCCCTGAAAGAGAACCCGTCCCCTCCAAATGCTGGAGCATAGGGGGATTGTTGGCTCCTTTGTGATGGCAAAAGAAAATGCACAAAAAGAAAGTGATAAAGTAAAAAAACGAAATAAAAATTTGATAACTAAAAAAATTTATAAAAATAAAAAAGGTGATCAGTAAAAAAAAATAAAAATGATTTAAAAAGAAAACAAATAATTAAAAAAAAAAAGGTCATAAGTAAAACATAATATGAACCTCCCGCCGTCCGCCCGTTAAGGAAAAACCGGACGGCGGACTCGCATCAGCGGGTTGCCGTCTCCAGACGGCATTTTTTACCTGCTCGCTCGCGCCCCCTTGCGCGCATAATCGGGGGGGGGGAGAGTTCTAACAAAAAAGTAAATGACAAAAATGATATGAAGATATAAATAAATGCTCCTGGGAACACAGCGGCAGCCGTGCGTTGTAGTGCAGTTGACTAAATGGCGTACCGCAGTACGGGCACAGTGACCGTTCTGTCTGGACCACGATTGGACAATAAAAATTCTACTTCCCGGACCTCCTTGTTCGCTCCCCCACCGTAGAACATTCGGCGCAGGTTATAAGGCGCTTTGTGTCACATGATCTGGATTCATGAATAATTATTATTTTATGTCTTCAGCAGAACCCTCCGAAGCTGATAAACAAGGAACCTCAGCAGCGGATGTCGCCCCGCTGGCCCTGCCGTCCCACGTTCCCTTTCTTCTGATTGGAGGAGGGACGTCGTCCTTTGCCGCAGCTCGATCTATACGCGCCCGGGATCCAGGAGCAAAGGTGACTGCAGTATTCTAGGTCAGCGGTCGCCAACCGCTGGTCTGCGGACCACAAGAAAATGTTGGTGGTCCCCGGGCACCTCTGATGCCGTGCCGGCTGGGCCGTCATTGAAGGAGGTTCCGGGGCCGCCTCTCACTGACTAGAGCAGCCGCTGTCACAAGGAATGCGCGGCTCTCAGTACAGTGCGGGCTCTGCAGGAGGCGGGGCATCTCGTCTGTAGCCGGACTGAGCAGGCTGCGGGACATAGAAAAAGTGGGGAGAAGCCGGGTAATAGTGGCTCAGTGTGGGGGAAGGGGAGGCACGGGGGTGGTTGGGGGCAGTGCTGAAGCTGGAGGGGTGCCCCATGGCCAGTGGCAGATTCGATAGGGGGGGGAAACAATATTATTACTGGGCCGGGGTGGGCAGCGCCGCTCGCTCCCTCCACCAGCATATTATCAGTGGTCCGCGGGATTTAAAATGATGAATTTAGTGGTCCACGAGGTCCGAAAGGTTGGCGACCGCTGTTCTAGGCGGACATGATGTGTGCCGATGGGGCCTCTGCTCTCTCTATTTTTGTCCCTTTTTAAGCCTCCTGGTGCATCTCTGACAGGGAGGGGCTATGCAAATTAGGACATGTGACCTTCTTTTTTTTCTTTTTTAAATTATGACCATGTGTCAATATTTACAGGGTGTGATTGTGTAGTCTGACGCTTCAGTTACTGGGCGCGGTCGGGGTTTTTGCACTTTTGTCTTTGTAGCTCCTAAAGTTTTCCACATCATTCTTTCAGGTCCTAATTGTGTCCGACGAAACGGACCTGCCGTATATGCGACCGCCGCTCTCCAAGGAGCTCTGGTTCTCCGATGACCCCAATGTCACCGAGACTCTGCGGTTCAAGCAATGGAATGGCAAAGAGAGGAGGTGGGAGGAGCTATCTGCTTGTAATGTGGGGGGAGGGGGAAGTCATTAAAACTGTTACCAAAAATGTATCTGAAGACAAAACAGCTTTTAGATGGAAAGGGATTAGAACCCCTGTCAGGTTTTTATTGTTTTCTATGTCCTCGCTGCGCATGGTCCGCGGGGGTGCACTTGGAGACACGGGGTGCCCCAGGGAGCCCTTTGGAGGCAGAGTGCATTAGGGCACATTGGAGACCCAGAGTATTTTTTGGCACACTTGGAGAGAAGATGTATGGTCCGCCAATCAGCCGAGCTGTCTCCTGACTGGCCAGGGCGCTGGCACGGGTGAGCCTCCGAATGTGCCAATGGCTGTGCATCGAAGAGCAAAAGTCCCGACACTGCAGGTGACCACTGTAACCAGGACTTAAAGTCAGGAGGAATCCCAAGTTCTGAGTTGTCACCAGAAGGGGGACACGGATCTAGATTGATATATACAGTATATGGAGCCAACGGGTTTTAAACCTTCTACAGTCTTTAAAATAAAAATGAATTTTTCTTATTTTGTGATTAAAACAATCAGGTTTGTTATATAAAATGTCGTCCTTCCAGCTCAGCTCAATAATCGCACTCTTCTGCGCAGCATCTTTTTTCAGCCGCCGTCCTTCTACGTGTCTCCTGAGGAACTAATGTCTACGGAACATGGAGGAGTCTCAGTCCTGACTGGTAAAAAGGTACGACCTCCATTATATTCTCCCCCTCCCTCCTCTCTCTCTCCTTCTCTCTCTCTCTCTCTTTCCTTCTCTCTCTCTCTTTCCATCTCTCTCTCTCTTCCCCCCCTTCTCTCTCTCTCTCTCTTTCCGTCTCTCTCTCTCTTTACGTCTCTCTCTCTCTTTACGTCTCTCTCTCTCTTTACGTCTCTCTCTCTCTCTCTCTTTCCTGCTCTCTCTCTCTTTCCTGCTCTCTCTCTCTCTCTCTTTCCCTTTCCTGCTCTCTCTCTCTCTCTCTCTCTCTCTTTCCTGCTCTCTCTCTCTCTTTCCCTTTCCTGCTCTCTCTTTCCTTCTCTCTCTCTCTCTCTCTCTCTCTCTCTCTTTCCTTCTCTCTCTCTTTCCTTCTCTCTCTCTTTCCTTCTCTCTCTCTTTCCTGCTCTCTCTCTCTCTTTCCTGCTCGCGCTCTCTCTCTCTCTCTCTCTCTCTCTCTTTCCTGCTCGCGCTCTCTCTCTTTCCTGCTCGCTCTCTCTCTCTTTCCTGCTCGCTCTCTCTTTCCCTCTCTCTCTCTCTCTTTCCTGCTCGCTCTCTCTCTCTCTCTCTCTCTCTCTCTCTCTTTCCTGCTCGCGCTCTCTCTCTCTCTCTCTCTCTCTCTCTTTCCTGCTCTCTCTCTCTCTTTCCTGCTCGCGCTCTCTCTCTCTCTCTCTCTCTCTCTCTTTCCTGCTCTCTCTCTCTCTTTCCTGCTCGCGCTCTCTCTCTCTCTCTCTCTCTCTCTCTTTCCTGCTCTCTCTCTCTCTTTCCTGCTCGCGCTCTCTCTCTCTCTCTCTCTCTCTCTCTTTCCTGCTCTCTCTCTCTCTTTCCTGCTCGCGCTCTCTCTCTCTCTCTCTCTCTCTCTCTTTCCTGCTCTCTCTCTCTCTTTCCTGCTCGCGCTCTCTCTCTCTCTCTCTCTCTCTCTCTTTCCTGCTCTCTCTCTCTCTTTCCTGCTCGCGCTCTCTCTCTCTCTCTCTCTCTCTCTCTTTCCTGCTCTCTCTCTCTCTTTCCTGCTCGCGCTCTCTCTCTCTCTCTCTCTCTCTCTCTTTCCTGCTCTCTCTCTCTCTTTCCTGCTCGCGCTCTCTCTCTCTCTCTCTCTCTCTCTCTTTCCTGCTCTCTCTCTCTCTTTCCTGCTCGCGCTCTCTCTCTCTCTCTCTCTCTCTCTCTTTCCTGCTCTCTCTCTCTCTTTCCTGCTCGCGCTCTCTCTCTCTCTCTCTCTCTCTCTCTTTCCTGCTCTCTCTCTCTCTTTCCTGCTCGCGCTCTCTCTCTCTCTCTCTCTCTCTCTCTTTCCTGCTCTCTCTCTCTCTTTCCTGCTCGCGCTCTCTCTCTCTCTCTCTCTCTCTCTCTTTCCTGCTCTCTCTCTCTCTTTCCTGCTCGCGCTCTCTCTCTCTCTCTCTCTCTCTCTCTTTCCTGCTCTCTCTCTCTCTTTCCTGCTCGCGCTCTCTCTCTCTCTCTCTCTCTCTCTCTTTCCTGCTCTCTCTCTCTCTTTCCTGCTCGCGCTCTCTCTCTCTCTCTCTCTCTCTCTCTTTCCTGCTCTCTCTCTCTCTTTCCTGCTCGCGCTCTCTCTCTCTCTCTCTCTCTCTCTCTTTCCTGCTCTCTCTCTCTCTTTCCTGCTCGCGCTCTCTCTCTTTCCTGCTCGCTCTCTCTCTCTTTCCTGCTCGCTCTCTCTTTCCCTCTCTCTCTCTCTCTTTCCCTCTCTCTCGCCCTTTCCTTCCCTCTCTCGCCTGCAGAAGCAGGGAGATTCTTGCACTGCAGCTCCTCAGGTACAGCTTCCCCTCCAGCAAGGAGAACAGAGATCAGCACGGGAGTGACATCACTAAATCTGCTGGGGGCGGCAGTGCCATGGATGATCTCACGCGGGATCTTTTCTTTGTGCAGGTGGTACATTTGGATGTCCGGGAGAACAAGGTGAGGCTGGATGACGGAACCCATATCTCCTATGACAAATGCTTGATTGCTACAGGTATGACTGAACACTTTCTGTGGAACGAATACGTAGAATATACTTAGAATGACCATAAACTCTGCTGCCCCTACAATCTGAGAGATTGACTGCTGGTCAAATGTAGTTACAATTAACCCTTACCCTGCTCCTTCCACTCAGCAGCTCAGCCCCCCCCCCAGCAGTGACTCAGCAGCTTATCTGCCCTTACTTATCCCTTCCAGCACTGGCTTAGCAGCTCAGCTTCCCTGCTTCCGCCTCCCTGCAATGAATCAGCAGTTAAACTGCTATGGATACAGGTTTACAAATGTTCTTTAACGCCTTCATGACCAGTGACGTACAGTGTAGGTCACTGGCACTGGGCCCGTTTAAACACAAAGCCGCCGGGACTCTGTTGACACTTGTAAAGCCGACTGTCTGCTTTACAGTAGAAGTGATTCTGGCGGATCAGCTGCCACCAGATGGCTTCTACGGGCCGGTAAATGCATGTTGGGTATCTATTTACTCGTTGTAAGCTCGTCTTTTATATTGTATTGAAAAAAATGGGTATTTTATTGTGTTTTGGGGCATATAAAGGAGAACTATGAGGCGAGTGAAAACTGTCACACGTCGGCTCAATAGATCGGAAAATGAGGGAACGCATACCGTCGCTCGCTCACTTCTCGATCCTGTCCCTGCAGAGAGCTGTGACCTTCACTCACGGCTCCCTGCAGGCATTTCCCCCCGCTCCGATCCTCCATCGCTGACTGGCGGAACGGACGGGGGAGGGGCCGGGTACAGCTGGCTCTGCCTCTAGATATGCAGAGCTAGCTGTCACTCACACAGCTGGGTGGCTCTCGACAGTAATGTCGGGATCTGTCCCGGCTGCGGCGTATAGCTGTAGCTTGCGGTATACTGAGCTTAGGGTGACGGTAGGACGCTAGTTTGTGTCCTCCCGTGACCCTTAGGAGAACTATGGGGGAAACCACTGACCCCCATAGTTCTCCTTTTTAGGCGCACTTTTCACTAAATTTTGGGGTTTGATAAGAAGTGGCGCCAATATCGCGCAACATAAAAATTTGCAACTGCCGACATTTTATTCTATGGGGTCTCGGCTTTCAGAAAATATATCATGTTTGGGGCGTTTTAAGTCATTTTTAGGCCTAAAATGTGGAATATAACATGGGGGCAAAAAATGAAAACAAGACCTCGGTTATGAAGGGGTTAAAGATCTCTGCGTGTCTGATTTTTTTTTTTTAAGGGGGAACGCCTCGTAGTCTTCCAGCCATAGAACGAGCGAGCGAGGAGGTGAAACGGAGAACAACGCTGTTCAGAAAGGTGTGTTCCATGTTCCCGTGTGTTCCATGTTCCCGTGTGTTCCATGTTCCCGTGTGTTCCATGTTCCGTGTCCGGTGCGTTTTCACGTCACTTGATGTGTTTTTGCTGAAATTGCCTCTTTGTGATGTTCGCAGGTTTCTGATTTCCGGGCTCTGGAGCGTCTCACTCCCACCATCGGCTCCATCACCATTATTGGCGGAGGATTTCTGGGCAGCGAGCTGGCCTGTGCGCTGGGCCACCGAGGTGAGCAGATCATGTCATAGAGGCCGCCCACGTCCCGGCGATCCATTCTATATTGACTCTGATCTCCCACAGGGCAGGAGAGCGGACTCCAAGTGGTCCAGATGTTCCCCGAGAGCGGAAATATGGGGAAGGTCCTCCCGGAGTATCTCAGCCATTGGACCACCGAGAAAGTGAAGAGAGGCGAGTTGTGGCTCCTGTAGCCGCCTTATTTCTGCATTCCTTATGTCTGACCTCCGTCCTTCCCATCAGTCTTGTATCTGACCTCCGTCCTTCCCTTCAGTCTTGTATCTGACCTCCGTCCTCCCCTTCAGTCTTGTATCTGACCTCCGTCCTTCCCTTCAGTCTTGTATCTGACCTCCGTCCTCCCCTTCAGTCTTGTATCTGACCTCCGTCCTTCCCTTCAGTCTTGTATCTGACCTCCGTCCTTCCCTTCAGTCTTGTATCTGACCTCCGTCCTTCCCTTCAGTCTTGTATCTGACCTCCGTCCT